AAATTATTCATAAATTTATAAATTCAACAGAAAAAAAATCTATAAGGGCTAAAATCACCAACTATATAGTTATGAAGATTTGAATAATAAACCTTAAGAGCCATTTAGAAATCATTATTCTTTAAGACTTTATATAGTAAAATATATTTTTTTAAAAAATTATTTGTGTCACTTAATATTTGAACCATAAGCCTTCAGGGCTTTAAAAATATTATAAGTTATTATTTTCATGTCATTCAATAACATGAGTGTAAAGACTATTGACCATTTACTAATAGGAAATTATAATATTAATAAATATCAAATTGAATGTTAAGAATATATGACAATAAGATAAAGATAAAATTTAAGATTTAAATTAATAAGAAGTAAAATATAAATGTAACATGAATGAAATAAGAAGAAAAGGTAAACTCTTACACCAATACATCCTTTACTATATAGTCAATAGTTTCTCATAATAAAAGACATTTGAGCCATTAGTCTTGTGGGTTATAATATTTATAGCCTTCATTAAAGATACATGGCATCTAGCCATTTAATTTCAAAATAAAAAAAAATCAAAGATATATAGCTTCTGACCATAAGATAGAAATTTAAAATTATATGGCTTCTAGCCATTTAATAAAATAACAAAAAAATAAATATATATGACTTCTGGTCATAAGATAGAAAATTAAAGTTATATAGATGCGAGCCATTTAATAATATATAGAAAAATTAAATATATATATATTGCTTCTGGCCATAAAATAGAAAATTCAACATGATATATATATATATAAACAAAGAAAAATTATATATATATGGCTTCTGGCTATAAAATAGACAATACAAATTATATGGCTTTTAGCTTTTTAATGAGATAAAAAAATTCAAATATATATGGCTTCTGGCCATAAGACAGAAAACCAAAGTTATATGGCTACTAGCCATTTGATAAAATAAAAAAACATATATGGCTTCTGGTCATAAAACAGAAAATCCAAATTATATGGCTTCTAACCATTTAATGAGATAAAATAAAATCAAATATATATGGCTTCTGACCACAAAATAGAAAATCAAAATTATATGGCAACTAGCCATTTAATAAAATAAAAAAATTAAATATATATGACTTCTAGCCATAATATAGAAAATAAAAACCATGTGGCTCCTAGCCATTTAATTTCAAAAGAATGGAAAATCAAAGTTATATGGCTTCTGGCCATTTAATCTTAATAAGATGAAAACTTGGAATTATATGGCTTCTGGCCATTTAACTTTAGATGGTAACTCTTTAAGAATACTGCTAGTATCCATTGGAACTTCAGGTTCCATCGAAATCATAACATCAGGTCGATAAGAAATAGAGGGGGGAATCCTCTTATCATAACTAGTTCGAAAGGTATAATATCTATATTAAAATTAAATTGTACCACTAAAATGTAAAGCAAAATCTCCAATCTTAGTTATGGAACCTGATGTATGAAACAACAGTAAAAGATCTTTTAATTCCATATAATGATTTAGATTATCTTAGATAAATTGAATAGGGATGCGGATACTCCGAAACACCATATATATGATGCTTGAGATACTTTAGAAAAATTATAGAGATGATGATCTAAAATTATGCTGGGGTAGAAAGGTATATCATATGCACTTTGGTTAGAGCTTCATCCTGATAACATTTTATAAATAAAGAAAAAGTAGACAAGAATCATACAGAGGAAGAGAGGATCAACAAGAGAGAGTATTTCTCATTCCTTTCAAGAGTGTTCAATACATTATACGTGGCCTCTATTTATAAGCACTGCTTTAGACGTTTAATAGAATCTACAGATTATATAATAATATGAGATAATTATGAGATATAGAGATAATGGGAGATATTAGAGATTATATGAGATAATGAGAGATATATAGACATCCACAAAGATATTATTATATTCATAACAAGTTTGGGTTTGTACTAACATTTAATGTGTTTTTTCCCCTCAATTTTACATTTAATTATTTATTCTCTTTTCTTTGTCATACTCTCTTTCATTACATTTCCTCACACTTTTTTTTATTCTTTTTCTCATTTATTATAAGGACATATGTAAAAATAAAAGTACATTTCTAACTTATTTATTATTTCAATTAATTTTAATTGATTTTTCATTATTTGCAAATTAATCATTTGAAGCCTATAAAATAAGAATCGAAAGAAGTAATAAATTTCTTAAAGACGACATCTCCCACTCTGTTTTTTTATTTTATTTTATTTCTCTCCCCATGTTTTAAAAGTCAAAAGTTAAAAGCACCAAATTTTTTGTCATAACTCATTATGGCTTTTTATGCAAAAACCAAATTACCCACCACGAACGCAAACACCACAATTTTATGAATCCCACATTTTTCATTCAACCACACATTTAGGATGCCTAAACACTCACAAATGGACCCTAACCCATATAGCATTTATGATTGGGAGAATTGTAAGGATGTTTCGAATAAGACATATAATTATTAAAAATTTTTAGTAACAACATAACAATTTTTAATGAAAAATTCTAGAATAATAAGTGATAACTACTCACTTATCATTCAAACTTAATGATAATTATTTTCTTTTTTCATGATTTCATTATAATTCCTTTTTTATGATTTGAATCCAAATATCCCAAGTTTGAAAGATCCCAGGATCCCCACCCTCACCTCGAGCACATGTTCCAATGCGAATCAACTACATGTGAACCCTTATTCTCTCTCTTTCTTTTCTTTTTCACTGTTCTTTCCGATGAAAAAATTATTTTTTAATTTTTATAATTTTAACTCGACTTTAACTTATTTTCTACAATTCCACTACAAATTAATTTTCAAAATTTTAATGATTTAAAATATTAATGCTAATATTAAAACATAAAATTACGCATTTCACAAAAACTAAGCAACTAAAATTTTAAATACTTAAAATTATAAAATTAAATTGTAATGAATTGAAATGTACTGATTGAATGTAGCAAATTTAAAATTTACTTATTGTAATACCGTACTCGCAGCACTTGAATTGTCCAAACGGGTCGCCATACATTTAGTTACCGTTGTTGATTGCTTTGACAGAAGACATGATCCACGTCCATTTTACAGTGTAACGAAAGAATAAAATGCATTGCAAATATGGATGTGTAAATTTATCTTGAAATTTTTTTACTTAAGAGTGTTGGGTACCTGAAAATTTTTAGAAGCAAATTTACCCTAAAAGTTTAAAATCATAGCAATAGTTCTCTCTACCGTTAAAAATGTTAATGATTAATATCACTATTTTAACAATCAAAGTTAGCTTTTTAACATTATAGGGAAATATTGCTATGATTTTAAAATGCATTACAAATATGGGTTAAGGTGTAAATTTATCTTGAAATTTTTTCACTCATAGCAATAGTTCTCTCTACCGTTAAAAATGTTAATGATTAATATCACTATTTTAACAATCAAAGTTAGCTTTTTAACATTATAGGGAAATATTGCTATGATTTTAAAATGCATTACAAATATGGGTTAAGGTGTAAATTTATCTTGAAATTTTTTCACTTAAGAGTGCTGGCTACCTGAAAATTTTTTAGAAGCAAATTTATCCTAAAAGTTTAAAATCATAGCAATAGTCCTCTCTATCGTGAAAAATGTTAATGATTAATATCACTATTTTAACAATCAAAGTTAGTTTTTTAATGTCATAGGGGAATATTGCTATGATTTTAAAATGCATTACAAATATGGGTTAAGGTGTAAATTTATCTTGAAATTTTTTTACTTAAGAGTGTTGGTTACCTGAAAATTTTTTAGAAGCAAATTTGCCTTAAAAGTTTAACATCATAGCAATAGTCCTCTCTACTGTTAAAAATATTAATGATTAATATTACTATTTTAACGATTAATATTAGCTTTTTAATATTATAAGACAATATTATTATGATTTTAAATTTTTTAGATAAACTTGCCCTTAAAAGAATTTGGGGTATCCAAATCCTTTGAGTGAAAACTCTTGGGAAAAAGTTGCATGTTAAGCCTTACAAATATTTATAAATACTGAGATAGATGTAATTTCAAGGAACCACACTACAACAACAATGAAAAACCATGCAACACGTTGAACAGATCAACAAATCATCATCCGCGCCAAAATGTCACGGCTTTCTGGGATGACACCCAAAAAAGCGAATCGCGCTATTTCGGGCTGATAATTATTTCACACTTTCATGGATATATTAGAATTATACTCCTCCGGTCCTAATTATAAGACCCAATTGACTTATTTGAGGAGATTAAGGAAGTAAGTTAAGTTGGTTATTTATAATAAATAAGTGTTGTCATTCCTAAAATATCCTTACCAATTAAGTATATTGGCTAAAACTATCATTATTAGAAGGATTATCTTGGAAAAAAATGCATAAATATAAGAGACAAAATGGATTGGGTCTTATAATTAGGACCAAATAAAAAATCAAATTGGGTCTTATAATAAGGACCGGAGGAGTAATTGACAAAAATAAAATAAAATTAGGACGAAGAGCGACTCCAAACTTGAGCGAATAACAATAGGCCACCCGATATTAGTTTCACTTCTTGACACTGAAGGATGAAGCAGAACAATTCGAGCAGACTCCGCCACTCTGAATTCGCATCAAATGTGTGTAAACTTCGAAATCTGGTTTAGTTATTTTCTTGCATTGTCAGAAATTTGTTCACACAGCGCAAGGCTTTGCTTGTATCTTCATATCTGTCGGGTTACTCGGAAAATGGCAACAAACGAAGGAAAAGTCTGCGATTGTTGACGAAGGCGGAGTTTTATAACTTCACGCCGTTATTGTACGTCCATCGCTAACACTTCTTAAATCTTCATGGACAATATGAATTCTCGAAACATATAGACTGATTTTGTTTAGTGGAATGCGATCTCAACAACTTCTAGAGCTCATTTTCCTGGCCATCCATCTAACTTGGTTCAACTGAAAGATCACAAAGAAACAATGCTACGATTGAAAGCATTCCGACCGACCAATGATAAAATAGTTAAGGTACAATTACATCCGACGTATCCATGGATGGTCACGGCCGATGCATCAGATCGAGTGTGTGTCTGGAACTGGGAACATCGCCAGGTATAATTGTGGCATTGCTTCTTTTTGGCTCATTGCCTATAAATACGCGTTTCTTATTTTTAAATCTTTCTTGTTACTTTGTGCTGCATGTCTTATTATTATGGTTATTATTATTTTGATTTAAAAACCACTTCATCAGGTGATATACGAACTAAAAGCTGGTGGAGTAGATGTGAGGCGTTTGGTTGGCGCCAAGTTGGAGAAGCTAGCTGAGGGAGAAACAGGTAAATACCTTTGCAGCAACTGGCAACAAAATCCTTTAACTATCATAATTACATAATTTACAGGCTCTGTAAAACAGTCTGCTCATTTTTTCGTTTTAATTGGTCTTAGCTATTTGAACGGTTCACGAGTCAAAATTCTTCACTGCGCAAAATCTTAGAGCAGAAACATTTGCATTGTGAGCACACATCCTATATGATGATCATTGTTTCCAGGCCCCCCGGCCCTAGGAGCGTCACTATAATGCATTATGTTATTATTTTATGCACTTATAACAATAATTACCTGAATTTGAGGTAATGTTATATCCATTTTGTATAGTAAAATGCGGTATTTACAGTGCTGAGTCTTGGAAAATGGGAAAAAAAGGTGAATACTACTTACTTTAAGCGACAATATATTAGTAGTATAAATTGTTTCTTACACTCTCCAACCATTCTGCATTTCTTTACTGCTTTAGTAACTGAAGCCCGTATTTATGTCTGCTTGAATAGATCACAAGGGGAAGCCCACAGAAGCCATTCGTGGAGGGAGGTAAAATACCATTGCTTTGCTTTTGATATCTTTTTCTTGGGTTTTTAGTCCACCTGTTCATCGTGACACGCCCTTTCCTTAAAAGTGTAAAGCAGGTTAATTTTTTTGACGATGACGTTCACTTTTGGAAACTCTGGCACAATCACTCTGCTGCTGCAGAGGCTCCATCAGCAGTTCATAATCACGCATCAGCATTTAGTTCTCCTGCCCCATCAACTAAAGGGAGGCATTTTCTAGTCATATGTTGCTTGAACAAAGCTATATTTTTGGACTTGGTAACAATGCGTGGCCGGGATGTGCCAAAGCAAGAGCTTGATAGCAAGTCCCTTCTATGGTAAAAAGTCATTTGATTTAATTTTACCCTGCAGCTTGGCAGTTTAGTGGCAAGGTCCATTCAAGAAATCCTTTCTTTATTCCTTTTTTTTTTTTTTATAACTTTCATGATGTTATTTTGAGCAATAAATTGTTTGCCTCCTAATATGTTTCTGTTCTAGTTATTCTCTACATATATCAGTCCTTGACCCCAGATTCATGACCTTTTTCATTTAAATAGTATTGCTTTCTGCTCCATCCTTTGCTCTGATTCCTGATGTAATCTCAGCATGTATTGGATTAGTCTTTGGGTCAAATGCCACATGCTATTTTGTACTCTAGTCATATGCTGTGAATTGATTGCCGATTACTCATCCAGTTATGAGTTGTTTTCAATTTCATCTTTATGCACACTATAAAAGTTCTCACATTTGCTTTCTCTTGCTGTTACAGCATGGAGTTCCTTCATAGATCTGGTGTCAGTGACGGTCCTCTTGTTGCTTTCGGTGGGTCTGATGGAATCATCCGAGTTCTCTCAATGCTGACATGGAAGGTAAGTAGTTCAAATTCTTCTGCTTACAAAAGTTTAGCATCTAATATGATGCTTTGATCTTTGCAGCTTGTAAGGAGGTATAATGGAGGTCATAAAGGATCCATCTCTTGCTTGATGAACTTTGTCGCTGCTTCCAGTGAGGTAAATCTCAGACCCTTTGAAGAACTCATACTATTTTTATTGGATTAAAGTGCAATTTTAATAACAAAATTTACCTCAAGTGGCATTGGACACCATAAAGTTTATTTGGGTGCAAAAATATATATGAAGTTGTCAAAATGGGGCATCTAGTGTCACGCTATTAACGTCCATTAGTTTACCGTTGAAGGGGCCCAGAAGTCAATTTTAGAGTGCATTTTTAACAACCAAGTTTACATCAAGGGGTACTAGGAACCATGAAATTTACTTGGGTGTAAAAATATACATGAACTTTTTAAAAGGAAAAAAATAACAAAATTCTTTAACTCCCATAGCGGTCCATTAATTTTATTTTTTTGGGGTCCCACCAAATGCTATATTTTCTCTCTATCAATTTTCACTTCCAAGTAGACTAATCTTTCTCTCATCATAATCAACACGCACATTCTCTCTATCATATCGTTTTCTCAGCCTCCAAGCCTTTTATATGTATTTACACAAATGACGTCTTTTCCTTCTAGGATATGAGATTTATTGCTTGCACCCAAATACTTCCTCCAATCCTTAATATAGGACGTAATAGACTAATTTAAGGAGATTAAAAAAATTAAATAAATTACTTTAAAGTATTATATTTATCGTTTTTCTCCAAATTAATTTACTTAGCTTATAAACTAATATATAATCTAATGATGTATATAATATTTTAGAAAGATCATATACTATATGCTATATTTAGGTAATTATTTTACTTCTTTAATTTGTTTTTCAACTTTGTCTATTATACTAAGGAGAAGAGGAAGTAGGAATAAGTAGAGAAAAAACATGATATTTAGTGGGACCTAAAAATATAAAATTAATGGATATTTATAGGAGTTGGAGAATTTTGCTTTTCTTTCCCTTTTGGAAAGTTCACGTATATTTTTGCATCTAGGTAAATTGAATGATGCATAATGCCTCTTGATGTAAACTTTGTTATTAAAAATGCCTCTTAAAACTGACTTTGTGGATCCCTCTAACCATAAACTAACGGACGTTAACAGCGTGTTGTCAGATATCTTTTTTTGATAACTTTATGTATATTTTTGCATTCAAATAAACTTTATGGTGTCCAGTGCTTCTTAGGGTAAACTTTATTGTTAATGTTATTTTTGTTTTTGTTGGGTTTGTCATCCATGCTTTCTTTTCTTTTTTTTTTTGAGCTGAGTCATCCATGCTTTCTAAAACCAGTATTTTTTAATGGAAATATCACGTACCCTCAGTTGGTTAGCTTGTTAAAGTTTGCATATTGGACATTTGATCCTATGCTTTCTTGGCGTTGATGCTACATTTCTTCCAGAGGAGATAATTTCATTTAAACGGGATATGAACAAACTTTTATTTTTTCTTTTACCATTTTTTCTTTCTTCCAATGGATGGATGGAAATTCCATGAAGATAGAAAAAGGAGTAAGGGAGATTAGGAATCTATCTAAATTAGGGATATGCTACAGAGAAGCAAAATCAAACATGCATAACATGTAGTCAAAATGACATTTCTGCTTCTTCTTGTTTTTCTCACATTAGACAAGAGAACTTAATTTAAAAATTTCATTAGATTATATTTACATCTATGATATGTAGCATGAATATAAATATGTCTAAAATATTTATCTTTATAATTGTGTGGTAGGATAACTAGATTATATGTTCTATTTACATTGTGCATTAGCGTCTGGTCAACTGGATTTTGTGCTGTCAAATTCTTATTGAATATTTGTGCAGTGTTTGCATGCCTTATCATTTCTGTCTTGTATTAATTAGCTTTTTGGGGTTCTGCTTGACTTCAAGGCTTTTCTGGTTTCGGGAGCTAGTGACGGATTGCTCATAATATGGAGTGCTGACCAAGGACAAGATTCACAAGAACTTGTCCCCAAGTTTTGGTTAAAAGTACTATTCTTTTCCTCTTCCTATACTCCACTCCATTGGTTCAATAATTGGTGAGAGATGGATCTGAATTACTGCTTTGTCTTCATGAGTTGTGGCATGGTTCGGGTTGTATTTCCTTTCTGTTTCTTAAGTTCATAAATTGGTTGAACTCAATACTGGTGATATATTACATATATGTAGCATGATTTGATAAGATCGGAAAGACTAAATATCAGGCACAAAGCGAACTGCATAATAAAGTGAGGAGAAATGATGTTAAATTCAGATTTTTTTCCCCTTTGTAACTGGTTTCTAGCTTTTTTTTTTTTTGTTTTATTTTCAATTGCTTTGCTCTTTTCTACAATGCTTGTGCTGTTTTGATGCCTGCATATTTATGCTATGCGGGGCATCTAGGCACATGATGGCGGGGTTACGTCAGTTGAACTTTCCAGGGTGAACGGAGGTGCTCCTCTGCTAATTGCAATTGGTGCAGATAAGGCGTTAACTATATGGGACACAGTCTCCTTTAAGGTGCGATAATATTACCAACAGATGAAATAGTTAATCCGTTTTAAATGTTTTTGCTGACTGCAACGACTTTTCATGATATTATTACTATTACTATTGTTATTATTGGTATTATGGTTATTTTATCTGCTTTTTAAATCTCAGGAGTTACGACGTATTAAACCAGTACCAAAATTGGCTTGCCACAGCGTGGCATCTTGGTGCCATCCTCGAGCTCCAAATCTTGATATTCTAGTTTGCGTCAAGGATTCACATATATGGTATGTTTACATGACCTTTTCTTTTGTTGGGTTTAAGTTTGCTATCATAATGTGATTGTGAAATATCTCCTCTGTCTCATACTAGATCAGACTTGTTTACTGCTGATTTTCTATCCCTCTGATATATTGATTTTATTTTTTATATTTTGAACTATTGCTAGGGCCATGGAACATCCCACATATTCTGCTCTCACAAGGCCATTGTGTGAGCTAACCTTGGTTATTCCTCCTCAAGCTCTTGCTCCTAATAAGAAATTAAGGGTTCGTGACGATTGATTCTTTTTTCTTAGGCTTGGTCGTGGTTTGTTGGTTCTTTCTTTGCTTTTATGACTCTCACTGAAGCTGTTCAACCAACGGGAAACATGAACATAATACAAAACTTCTAATTACTCTTGGATCATTTTAATTATTGTGACCGGATAAGGCGGAAAATCAACATTGGATGGTCTTTGTCACCGAACAGCTTTTCTTTGATCATGCCCTATAATTTTTAGGAGACCCAGCACCTGGGATGCTAACTCCTTAGGAGCAAGCTCAGGCCATAGTGGGGAAAAAGAAAGAAACAGAAACTCCCGGTAAACGAGCCACGCAAAAAATTGAAACATAGCTCCTCTTTTTCCCTTTTTAACTGCTCTCTTTCCCCCCCTTTTGGACAAGGAGGGAGATAATGTTAAGCTCTGAAAGTGGGACACATTACCACGCTTATTTCCTTCATCCTCTAGATTAAAAATGAAGCACAAACTTGAAATTTTCGAACGTCATGAGTTCTTGTCCTTTTCCCCCTGCTTTCTGCTTTCTCCTATCGGTGTTACGAATAGAAAAAGTATTTTTGTTGATACTGAGAACTTTGATGCTAATGAAGATGCAATTGTGTCCAAAAAGATCGTATAGCTGATATATAATGTTAATGCAAGCAGATAAGTTTCTCCAAATGGCTATCTATTTATCGTAAGTCTCAGAGCTATTTCCAGAGCTAAATCAGATCCCAACCTGTTCATCTCATTATACTTTCCTTGAGAGATTTCTATGTAAGTATAGTCTAGAGAAAAGTTTCCAAAGATGGAAAATGATGAAAATTTGCTCTGTATGGCATGTGGCATATAACATTACTTTTTCCGAACATCAGACTGAATTACGGGGATAAATCATGGACATTTGAACGTAATTAAGTGTATCAAACGTAAATAGCTATACTTATCATGATACATTGGTTTTAGGAAATTAGTCAAACGTGTAATCATCTCTAATTTTGCCATTGTTTTGCGCTGCAGGTGTATTGTATGGTTGCACATGCTTTGCAGCCACATCTTGTTGCCACGGGAACCAATATTGGTGTTATTATCTGTGAGTTTGATGCTAGATCTCTTCCATCAGTGGCTCCCCTGCCAATACCAAGAGATGGCGGAGAAAATTCTGCTGTATATGTTGTTGGAAGGGAACTACAGCTATTAAATTTTCAGCTAAGCAACTCAGCAAATCCGTCTATTGCAAATAGCAGCTCTTTATCAGAAACAGGGAGGTCTAAGAGAGAATTTTTTGAACCCTTGCTTATAAAGCAAGGAAGGAAGCACATTAATACACCTATTCCACATGATTCATATTCAGTTCTTTCAGTGAGTAGCTCTGGAAAGTAAGTGACCCCTAATTTTGCAGCTCCCACAATATTATTTCCTTCCTTCTTTTTTTGGGGAAAAAAATTGCTTTCTAACTCAAAATGAATTGCACCCTCTTATTTTTACTCTAAAATTTAGGAATAAAATTCTAACTTTTCGTCTTCATATATATAGTCACACTGTCTATAATGTATGATTTTCTATCATTTTTGTGGTATATATGTTGTAATCCTTTTGCTTTAGACTTCAGTTAACACTTGCTTCTATTCCAATCTAAAATTTTTTGTAATGATTGTGAATATGAAAAACAAAACCTTATAAATTATGTTAAATTAATTGCAGGTATCTTGCCATCACTTGGCCTGATTTTCCATTCTTTTCTATCTACAAGGTTGGTGACTGGTCAATTGTTGATTCTGGGATTGCAAGGATTCTTGCTTGGGACACATGTCGTGATAGATTTGCTATATTGGAATCTGCGTTACCTCCAAGAATTCCTATAATTCCTAAGGGTGGTTCATCAAGAAAAGCAAAAGAAGCTGCGGCGGCACATGCTGCGGCAGCTGCTGCTTCTGCTGCTTCCACAGGTTCTGTTCAAGTCCGTATCTTGTTAGATGATGGAACTTCAAATATATTAATGAGGTCTGTAGGTGCACGGAGTGAACCAGTAAGAATCTTCTTCATTCTGTAGCGTTTGTCATATAAAAAATAGTTATCCTTCTTTTAAGTTATATGATTTCTTGCGTTCCTGGCTACATACTTCAGGCACCTGTGAAGTCCAAAAGCAAAAATCTGCAAAAACTGTTAATTATGATTATAACTTGGACGTGTCCTTGCTTAGAGCTACTGGAAATGCAATTATATATTGTTTGGTCAGAAATTGAGTACTCCCTCCGTCTCTTATTATAAAATCTAATTTTTTGAATAAGTTTGTCCCTTTTTATAAGATCCTTTTTAAGTTTGTCTAAACATTTAATACATTATTACCTATTTTATTTCTAGTTTACTGCATTTAATACATTTTTTTCCTTCATTTATCTCACTATTACTCTTTCACATCTACCTATTTACATACAGGGACATACTTGGAAAAAAATTGTATTGCTACATATTAATTACTTTTAACTAATTTTAATTGTTTTCTTAAACCACGCAATTTAGTTAAAAGGATCTTATAATAAGAGACGAAGTAATAGATATTAAACAAGATGAGTGCTAAGACACTTTCAAACACAATTGCCGGGACATTGAGTATTATCCAGAAAGGTATTTAGGGAATCACTCTGATTCTATCTCTGTTGGTTCCCTTTGAAGAAAGGAAGGATCCCAACAAAGAATTGATCTTTCTTTTAGTTGTTGAATCTCTCTTTGATCGATCAATGTGTGAGATTCCGAATCCTAGTTACTAATGGAATCAAAATTATCTTCGCCATTTCTTGAAATATCTCTTTTGATTCAAAATCATGGTGCAATGTGTATCTCCCATGTTCCAGTCATGGAATAAATGAAATAAATCAAAACATTGATTTTTGTTCAAGAATGAAATCTTATTGGAATTGTGCACTTCATCATTCGAAACCATATCACATCTGGAATCTGATTAATGACCAGAACCGATTCATAGGAGGGAAACTGTTGATATGTACAGGTAATTGCATTTTTGGAGCACATAAACTAACTTGTGAAATGTTTGAATAGTGGGGGCATCTTGTATTTACTTTCTAAACCAAGATGCCATTTTGAAGACCCCGTCCATGAAATTAGTGGTAGGAAGTGTTCTAGAACTAAAAATTCTAAGGTCCTGGCTTTTTTCAAGAAAATATCCTCCTTTTTATTTCCAGTATGAGAAGAGGATGCGATTTTTTTATATAGAAGTAGTATAAATTTGTATACAAATTTTCTTTTGTTTTTTTTTTCCTTTTTTTGTTTCCATAGCATATCTAGTACACAAAGACAACTAAACAAGTTATTCTTAAATAAGTACTCATTGAATACGGGAGCATCGATTGACATGTTAACGAATTTTCCTCTCATGTATCTGTTGCAGGCCATTGGTTTGCATGGAGGAACACTTCTTGGTATTGCTTACCAAACATCCAGGAGAGTTAGCTCAGTTTCTGCTTTCGGTATTTCAACGACCCAATCAATGCCCTTATCAGGTTATGGGGGCATTGGTGTTTCTTCTTTCGCTACTGTTGATGACGGATTTTCTTCGCATAGATCTTCAGCTGGGACCACATATCAAAACAACTTTCAGCTGTACAGGTGAAACTTATAATTATTCTTATTTAACATTCTTAGCATTGCTTTCTTAAGGTTTATACCCTTCATGTCTTCAAAGTTAAGTACTATTCTTTTGCCCAACGGAGGGAAGTAGCGGTTGACAGGCAAACAGCTTTCCACTGTATAGGTGAAACTTGTTATTCTTATTTAACGTACTTAGCATTGCTTCCTTGAGGTTTATCCTTCCTTTCTTCAAAGCTATAACTTTTGTTTGGCCCGTCATGGAGAAGCAATGGTTGACAGGTTGTGAATGCTGTGAGATCATACAGACTAATACAATTTAATGGACGGGATTCTCTAAGTAGAAAATGAATGTTAGCTGCATAGTAATTCCAACTTATCAACCCTCTCTCCTTTAGCCCTTTCAAAGCAATGAGAAACTTCCCCTTGTCCTCTTGGACATATTTTGAGAATAGATGCAAACATTTAAGGTAGTTCATACATAATTCCATATCATGTGAAGTACTAGGCAGTCCCTGAAGTGTGAATTCTGGAATGCCTTTTCCATCAATTTTTACTTCATGGAACTCAAAACCTTATCTTCCTGTCCCCGGCCTTCCCTTGCTCACCCTTGTTTGGATTGTTTTTTTCGTTATAAGTTCTTGTCTGGACGGCTACGACACGGGATGCCAATTATGGGTTTTAAAAGTAGCTCAGAGTTTTATTATTTTAATTACATTGCTTCTCAGTCTTTAAACTCATTGCGGAAATCAGATTAATATTGAGCTGAATGCTAGAGATGCTGTGATCTTTGTTGGTTTTACTGATAGGATTAATTTCATGTTCTATTTTAGTTTGATGTCACATTTAATCGTGTTTCTGATTCAGTTGGGAGACTTTCCAGCCTGTTGGTGGTCTACTTCCTCAGCCAGAATGGACGGCGTGGGACCAAACTGTTGAGTTGTGTGCCTTTGCATACCATCGATACATAGTCATTTCTTGTTTGCGCCCTCAATTCAGATATCTGGGAGATGTGGCAATTCCATATGCCACTAGTGCTGTTTGGCAACGTAGACAGTTGTTTGTGGCCACACCTACTACTATAGAGTAAGCGATGCCCTCTTTCTACTATTTATTGTTAATTTGTATCCATTTTATACTTCCTAGTATTTGTTTAATTGTTTAATTGGCCTTCGTTTTCTGTTAGACTGCATCAGTTGGTTAGAAAGTGGCAATGGTGAACAGCTACGTACATTGTTAATTCCTTGACTGTTTTCTAGAAAGCCAACAAATAGGTTAAGATCCAATTCGGCTCTAAAAATTTTTGCATAGGAGTTGTAGGTATCCACAAACGTTTTTGAGATCAATATCTCCCGAAAGTGTTAAAAAAGAGGGGGTAAACTCGCCCTAACCAATAAAATACTAATGTTAACTGTTAAAAAACGAATATTGACTGCTAATATATATAATGACTAGGGGTGACATTGATCACTTTTTTAGCACTTCAGGATATATTGATCCAAACTTTCACATACCCACAGCTCTCACAATAAAACTTCCAGGGCAAAATTGAACCTTAGTTCATTTATTTTTCTGTATATTGTCTATGTATAGATATATGATGCTGTGGAGTGGTGCTTGTAGATTAAACAGAACTTGAAGTCTTTGTCATAAGATAAACTATTATGCATAATATAACCACCTTTCTTTACTACCTCAACCTGAGGAACAAAAGTGGAGGTTTTTTATGATTTATTATACTTTTACTCCTGTCGTGCTCGGAATTGTTTTTGTGGATGCTGGGGTAGTAGAAATTGACATAGAAACTAAAAAGATGAAAGAAGAGCAAAAAATAAAAGAGGCACAAGCCAAAGCAGTAGCTGAGCATGGAGAATTAGCCTTGATTACTGTTGATGGCCCCCAAGCTACTAAAGAAGAAAGAATATCATTGAGGCCACCAATGCTACAGGTAAAAAAAGGCTGGCAGCTTTTCTAAGTTATGATATTCATTGCAATTCTTCATTGTGTATTTTGTCTTTCTTTCAATAGTAATATCTTCTACCTGGATATGCTTAACTGTGACTTCCTAAAATCAATTCAAGTTTGATTGAAAGTTATTCTTCTTGCTTTTTTTATCTGAGAAGTTAAGCCTGTCCCTGAAATACACTTGATTTAGGTGAATAACTAACGTGGACATTTGTGCCTAGTTCAAACTGTAATTGTTTTGCAAAACATGCACTCCTGCAACGAATGAATTTGGAAACTGTATTTTGGGGTATCGTTCTGAATAACTATAGTCTGTTTTGCTTCTTGGATAAGCTATAAGGTTTATCATTCTGGTATAATATTCGAATATCCTTCAACTCGTCAAACCTAGTGCGCTTTCTGAATTGGGTTTAATGTTGGTCTTATGTCAGGTGCCAGCTCCTTCCTCCTCCTTCCTGTTCTCTTTTTAATCCTCTTTATCTTCTGCATTTATTTTACTTCCCAGCTCTCAAGTTATGTGCTACACTTCTTTTACTCCACAGCTCTCATTTTACAGTATAGGAGAAAATGCTTGTTATTTTAGCCTTCATTTTCATTATCATCATCCTTTCAACAATTTTATCACATCACTGGTTTTGTCTATCTTTCGTGTTTGGATGATTCATCCATTTCGTCATTTAAATATATGCAAAATATTTCTCCAGGTAGTGCGATTGGCTTCATTTCAGCATGCTCCTTCAGTGCCACCCTTCTTAATGTATACAAAACAACCTAAGCTTGAAAGAAATGATTCTTGGATGATAAAAGCTGAAGAAAAAAAGGCCAGCGAGGTAGCTGTTGGTGGTGGAGGAGTGTCTGTTGCAGTTACTCGTTTCCCCATGGAGCAGAAGCGTCCAGTTGGGCCTCTGGTTGTGGTTGGGGTCAGAGATGGAGTGCTCTGGCTAATTGACCGGTAACTAGGACTGTAGTTTCATTTTTGTTTGGTTTGGTAAAAGTTTGATTTTCCATTTTATATCGAATGTGTTCAATTTTTGTAGACCTGCAGTCATATATATGTGCGCAAGCATCTAATATTCTAATTTTGAACTCAACATTAAATAGCTTAATTCTCTAGATGTGTCCTGTAAAATTTCTTCTCCACACATAAACATATTTATGTGTGAACTTATCCTGGTGTTTTTTTTATCTGTACATCTGCTCTTAATGTGATTGATGCTCGAATGATTTTTCTGTTGAAGTTGGTTGTAGTAGTTGTGTGCAACACCATTACGCAGGATTTAAGTACGACAAATTTTTATGAACTGTATAGCCTGCAGTTGATTAGTGGATAGATATTGTTTCAGTAGTGTTAAAAAAAAAAAAGATGAGTAGATATCTTTTGATTATGTTGAGTATTGACTTTTGTTGTGCTAGCACTAGTTAACAAAAACTTGCATGATAAGCATGGTCATTTCTTGTTTATTGATAGAGGTCAAATCTGAAGTCGTTCGTTTAATGTTAGACGCTGTTTTGAAATAGCTTTCTTGATGATTCATGTATTTGGCAGGTACATGTGTGCTCATGCTTTATCCCTTAGTCATCCTGGTATTCGGTGTAGATGCCTTGCTGCCTACGGTGATGCTGTTAGTGCAGTTAAATGGTATCGCTTTGCTTTTCTCTTTGTTCACCCTTACGGAGTCAGCAGTGAATATGTATATCTAACATAATATTTTAACTTTTTAACAGGGCAAGCAGGCTTGGGAGAGAACACCATGATGATCTGGCGCAATTTATGCTGGGAATGGGTTATGCTGCTGAAGCCCTTCATTTACCTGGAATATCCAAGAGGTATGCTGTATTCTTGCAGCCAATTGCATGAACAATCTGATGGACTTCGGCTTGAATCACTACCACTATTCATACAACCTATGTCAAGATACGGTTAAATATATTGCCTTTTATGTTATGCAGGTTGGAGTTTGATCTGGCAATGAAAAGCAATGATTTGAAGAGAGCTCTTCAATGCCTTCTTATCATGAGCAATAGTACGAACATAGGACATGATAATCCCGGTCTTGCTTTGAATGATATCCTCAATTTAAATGATAAAAAAGAAGATATTGTTGAAGCTGTTCAGGGCATAGTTAATTCGCAAAGGAGTTTTTGGATCTCATTGATGCTGCGGACGCTACTGCACAGGTTGAAATTGCTCGCGAGGCTCTTAAGAGGTTAGCTGCTGCTGGTTCAGTGAAAGGCGCTCTAAAGGTCACGAACTAAGAGGATTATCGTTGCGGCTTGCAAATCACGGTGAATTGACACGGCTAAGTGTAGGCGCTTTTAATCTGACTTTTCAAATCAACTTTTTTTTTTTCCTTGTTTGATGCCTGTTAAGCATAATTTTGTGTTCATGTATATAAACTAGAATAAGTAAAAACAAAAAACAAAAAATGCATAGTAATGCATAATAATAATAATAATAATAATAATAATAATAATAATAATAATAATATTAAAAAACAAAGATTCATAGCAAAGCGTGTGCAATTTATTTAAGATCACATTGAGACCGCCTACACTGATCCTTTTGAAACTAACAGTCTTTTTGAGCAGTTCAATGGCAATCTTCAATATGTTTTCTCCATCATAGATGAGGTATTACTTTATGCGTTTCAGGGTTTGGTGAGTAATTTAGTCACTCTTGGCTTGGGACGAGAAGCTGCATTTGCTGCTAGTCTTTTGGGTGACAACGGCCTAATGGAGAAAGCATGGCAGGATACTGGGATGCTGGCGGAAGCTGTGCTTCATGCTCATGTAAGAATTGTTTCGTGCAACTAGTTGATCCCACATTTAAAGTACGTATAGCATAACCTTGAAAATATTACCAGGCACATGGACGTCGAACTTCAATGAACATGCTTCAAGCTTGGAACCAAATGCTTCAAAGAGAGGTTGAGCCTATGAAATCGCACAAAACAGATGCTACAGCTGCATTTCTTGCATCTCTCGAGGACCCTAAGCTTACGACGTTGGCAGAAGCAAGAAAGCAGCCACCAATTGAAATCTTACCTCCAGGGATGGTTTCTCTCTCTGCTCCTTTCTCCACCCAGAAAAAACCACCATCCGCTGCACAAAATTCACAGCAGTCAACAGGCAAGCCTTTGGCCCTGGAGGCACCCACTAATACCACAACAATGGCAATGAACGCTTTGCAACAATCCGCATCAACACCAATGCCAACACTTCCTGCTGCTGCTACAACAGTGCCAATGAATGCTTTGAAGCAAACTGCACCCACAAGAACAATTCCCACAATCACAAAAGAGCCCGTGAAGGCTCTAAAGCAATCTAAATCAACACCAACATTTCCTGGAACCACAACAGAGCCAATGAAAGATTTAAAGCGTTCGAAATCTGCACCAACACTTCCCACAGTCACAACAGAACCAGCAACTGCTACAGAGCAATGTGGACCGCCACCAACACCTCCAACAACAGGAGTGCCAATGAGCGCTTTAAAGCAGTCTGGATCTACACTTACAACTCCTACAACTGCCACAGGGCCTATAAATGCTTTGAAGCAGGAAACTACGATAATGCCAATGAATGCTTTGAAGCAGTTTGAATTGACACAAACACCTCCTGCAGCTACAACAATGCCATTGAATGCTTTGAATCAGAATGCATCCACGAGGAATTCAGTACCACCAGATGTCCCTCGACAGGTAGCAGACTCTGAGAAGGGCAGCATCCCAACTACTATACCACCAACTGTAGCATCCTTGAAAGACTTCCTCGCATGATTGGTATTCTTACTGTGCTTCTGATATTTGCGCACGGGAGATGATTGTGTGGTTCAAGTTATTTTTGTCTGTTAATAAAGCATTCCATTGAAGGCAGTCTATTAAAGTGGCCTGCAACAAGCCTCTAGAGTACATATATTTCTCCTGGGAAGCTTCATATTCCCCCTCTTCATTGGAAATTTCGTCCGCAGTTATGCCAATATGTTGTCTGATGCATTACGAAAGAGGCTTCCGAGAACGCTGAATGATTGGTTTCTTTATTTTTACCTTTTGGTAATGTGTGCTCTTCAATTTTGATGCATTATAAATACAACCATTCCATGCATAATCCCCATCCCCCACCAAAAAAAAAAAAAAATCATACTGTAATGCTGCTGCGCACTAATATTGCGCAAGCAGAAAGGGCTGAGTGTTCCAGGGTTGCCATTTTCTGCAGGTTGCACAGAATTATTAAGGCCAGAAGTCATCGACTATTTCGCAGCTCAAATTGCAAACCATATTCATATATTAATGCTTAAAAATTATATTTGAGCAGATAAATTGATCCGCACAAAGAACAGTGTCTGTTAGTAATGTGATGCTCATTGGATTAACGGCCCGGACCAAAGAAAATAAAAAGCAAAGCACGTTACGTGTGAAAACCGTACTTAGGATGCAAAGTTGTGCTAGCTAAAATACTCTAGATCCAAATCAAAATTAGAATGATCCTGTCAAACAAAGAATCATTTTGATTGTTCACCAAAACAAAAGAAAAAAGAATCATTTTGATTGACTTCCTCGATATGGGAGTGAAAATGTCAAGGACTCAGATAACATCAACACAGGCAGCACCGGAAGTTACTAACTTGTGAATTTCTCATGTTAAGAATCATCTTATGTCGGGATTGACCACTAACGACTATGCCACTTTTCAACTACAGAACTAATTGCATGGATATAAATCTGTTATGAGGGCTAGTAGGACGCATTATTTGTACCTTAGATGACATAAAATAAATGAGATCGCGCAGGAGGCTATCTAATTAAGTCGATATCTCATTCACATTCCTTCTCTAATTACACAATGTAGATGACCAAAAAAAAAACTAGGACTTCAACATCTGACTTGACAGAAGTAGAAAATGGATGATATGACACAAAAATAAAGAAAACACCATCCACTTATCGCGAGGGACGACCCTCGTTGACAAATAAGGTTTCTATTCTGGGCCCATGGCAAGATCATGCCAAGCATCCGCATTGACTTGTTGAGTCTCCTGATCTGATTGACAGCAAAGCAATGTGTAAATATTGGATACAAATCTCCAATAAAAGGCGCACAATTATTATGATCTCAGTCATTTGTTTCCCGCACAGGCGTCCAAAGATATGCTTTCACAATCTGGACATCTTTAGCAAGAGAGAATTTCATTCTTTCTTCTTTTATTTTCCCCCTCTTATGTTGCGTCACAAGATTTTATAGACCAACAAACATGAGGTTACCTAACAATCGTGTTGAATTTAAGCTTTTACATTTTTATGGAAGTGAAGAAAGTTTATCCAGAAACTCTTATATGAATAATAAAGAGCATGACTCAAGATTTAGAATAACATACTTAAGTCCTCAGTATCATCTGTCCGAACTATCAGTGTTGAAGGTAGCGGAAGATCTGTGAGAACAATAGGTTAAGGCGCTTTTACATCAAGCTCAAATGACTATAACAGAGACATTCTTCGTTATGTTTGTAACCACAGGAGCTTATATCCCAATAAAACAGAGTAGAGCATACCATCATCGGGAAGTGTATCTCTCATCCATTCCTCATCAACAATATCAACAAGAATACCCAAGCTCAGTTCTGCCATATTTGATCATTCAGCAGCCTACGCCCTATTCTTGTAAAAAAAGACATGAGAGCGGGGATGAAAAGCAAAAGAATTGACACACAAATCTTCAACATAATCATCCTAATCCCAACAAGTTCGGAGCAAAACGTAGGTGTATAAGATATATTAAACAAAAAACAGAATGTTAATTGTGGTATAAATGTAGATCTAAAATTAGATAGGATCGAAGGCTCATTTCTCAACCATGATCAATTACGGCCGTAGATCAGCAAGCTCATAATGAGTATTTAACATTAGAAATTCTCTTCAATGAGGCTTGCAATGCTGGTTACCAAGCAAGTATTGAAAAAGAAGAAAAGAAAATAAAGCAATCGACAATGGTAGGTTCAAAATTAAAAGAAAATTAAAATAGATGGAGAAGAATACACAGGACACTTACATTTGCACAATGATTTCTAGATCAAAACTTCATGAATTATTTTCTTTTCCCCCAAGAGTAAGTCTTTTTGGTTTCGTTTATTATGAAACATTTTTCTTCAAATGCCTAAATCAAAACAGAAAAATTGGAAAAATCTTGAAGGATTCATTGACAATCTTGTGTATGTTATTCCCTTCGTTCCTTGTATACATGGAGATGGAGAAATTTTAATTAAAGAAAAACACACTTTCTTGGCATCCAAACAGCTTTCCTCAATTATAATCAGCTTTTACCCTCAAAATATTTCAAACAGAAACATTATACAATCTGGAAATTTTTCCAGCAATCTAAACATCAGCTTAAACTTTTGTTTAACATTCTATATCAACAACTTAATATTTGTAAATACCATACAGCAAACTTCAATGAAATTTTCAGCTTTATAAAATCCTCTTCTAAGCACATTAAAAAGTTCAAATTCAACAAAACTCAATTCTTTCCCATCCAAGTACATTGGCCGAAACAGAAGATGAGAATTTTTCATAAATCAAACTTTACTATTCTCAAACATACCGTAGAGCACTCTGAAAACTGTACATGCTTAACTCTCCAATTTATGATAACTTTAACTCGTAAACTTTATCAAAACAGTCAGCTTTTATTTAGTTTCTAACTTCCAGATTTTCAACATTCTCGTATAACTTCACAAGAACTGAACAGCGCCAACAACATATACTTTATGCTAACAACTTTATGTTTCATGTAATGCACTTAGACTACTCAAATTCCATCAATATGAAAGCATTCCATCTCTTTCATAATTTTCAAACAGCACCTCATGCCTCCAAAAGATCGGAACTTTCCTATTGTTCTGCTTTAGTTTCAGTCGCCTCTTCCCCTTAAACCGGTACCCAATCAAAGAAATACAGGTTAGAGGAAGAATCAGGATGCTCACCTTGGTTCAAAGACCGATTTGCATGTGGCTTATCTCCTCCCCGATCTCTGATTCCTCTTGTCTCGCTCTCTCTTCCCTTTCTCTGGCTGTGTTTTCCTCACTCTCTGTCTCACTTTTCAGACACGATTCGTGTCCAAGAAGAGGAGTAATTCGTGTTTTTCAAGCCAAAGCAGAGAAGAGATGAAGATGGGAAAGGGACTGAGAATGTGCTCCCTAGATATTTTATTGGGTACACCTAAAGCTTAAAAGAATTTTGCAGCGCATCTAGTATCTTAAAATATCTTTTAGATACGTCTAGCATCTTAAAGAACTTTTTTTTTTAAACTATGATACTAGATGTATCAGAAAATATTTTAACGTGTTAGATCCAATTACAAAAATAATTCAAAGTACTAGGTGCACAAAAAAATATTTTAAAATATTGAATACACTTAAAAAACATTTTAAGGTGCTAGATACATTAGAAAATACATTATGATATTGGATGGACTTCAATCTTTATAAAATTTTTGTTTTTTTAACATTTGGCTTCTTTAACTCATGAATTTTTTTTTTCCAAAATTTCGTGACTGAAAATCAATCTCTAACTATTTTTTTAAAAATTTCTTCATAAAATAAACTTTAATTTATGAAATTAGCTTTTGAATTATCTTTATCACTTTCGAAAATAAATTCTTTCATAAACTCTTTTATTTTGCAAAATAGTTATTTATTATTTTTTAATTATTTTGGGTCTTTATAAATTTTTAATAACTACTTTTCTTAATTTTTCTGAATTTCTTATCTTGAAAATAGGCTTTTACTAAATAAATTATTTTTAAGTCTCCTAGGCATCTTGTTCACTCTAACTTCAAAATTTAGGATAATACAAAAGATACGATTTTAGTATTAACCCTTTTATTGAGTAGAGTGATCTGCGAAGCATGCCTTTTTTTTTTTTTTTTGAAACACTACAAAATGACATATATTAAAAATAAAGAAAGTATCTACTTTACAAGAATTCAACTTAAGAAAACAATCTACACTGTACTAAGCCCTCTTATAAATAGGAAAATTTCAAATCATGTTGATAAATTTTACAAATCTTTAATTGATTCATGGACCTAATTTAGAATTTGTGAATTTAGGCATTTTATCACATTACTCCTCATTTTCCCCCCTCAAAGTCACCTATCTCTGTTTCCCCCCCCCCCCAAAAAGGCACCTCTGCGAACAGTACTGGTTCCATCCCAAGTTGAAGTATTTGAAGAACCTCGTCCTGCTAAAGCCACCAAGCAGCCACAAACAACACTAATATATATTCTCTTTGATCCACAATAATCTTCTATTTGTTTTTTTGGTTTGAAGCTTACGGCATATCTATACACATAACTAGCGTGGGATCTCTGCTGTAATGAAAAGTACACAAAGATTTCATGGAAAAGCAGGTGAAATTTTTCTGAAAATGCATCCCAGTTTCTTTTAAATTGTATTGAAGGGACCCTAGCATTGTTCAAGAAAGGACCCTAAGAAAATCAACTTTGAAGTAAGAATTAAGAAACTAAAAGGAAACGATTCCACTTTCCAACCTATTACAAATAATACTGGGATGAATTAAAGAATAGGGAAAACCCCTTGCAAAGCCTATTTGAATAACCAAAATTCCCATTTGGTTCACTAAATTTCAAAATTCTTAATTAGGTTATATGACATAAAAATGATTTAAAATTTTGTCAAAATTACTTCAATGCCCCGTCATTACAAAACAATTGGAAACTTGGTAATTTTTAAGGCTATCTTGCACTAAAGTTCTTTTCTATATTTTTCTAAAATATTTTACTGGGAATATGTTAGCTAGGAAGAAAGGAAAGTTCTTAATTTAGAATTCAAACTTGTCAATAGCACTTATTAATTATTAAAGTTGTATCATGATCAAGCTTTAGCTAATAATTATTGCAGGTGTGTTATGAAAAAAAGAAAAGAAAAGTTAATTTAGAAGTCAAACTTATAAACAGAGTAATTAAACTTGTCAATTTTTAAAGTTATGTTGTGATCAAGTTCTAGTTAACATTCATTGCAAGTGCATTATGAAGACAGAAAATTTTTTAATTTAAAATTTAAAGTTGTTAATAACATAACGATACTTAAATACAGTGGACCATTATTATCATTTCATCACATTTTAAAATCTCTGTGAGTCATATAACCTGATCAAAGCTTTCAGAGACTTAATTAGTGACTTAAAAAAAAAATTGGATTATGTAGCTAACGTTTTAAGAGATTTTTCCTAAGGAATATATATCACCGATATTCCTTGGGCATCAACGTAACGGTCGAAACTGATTAATGGTCCAGATTTTATCCAGGGCACCATGCTTTAGCCCATATATAGACTGAAGTTTCAAGCAAGACAAATCAAAGCATCACAAGCTCATTAGCTATATATAGCCCTCAATTTCAGGCATTTCGTATTAGTTTGATTTTATTTACAACAAGAGGTAAGGCCCATATATATATATATACATATATATATATATGGACAAACAAACCATATAACTTCCAAGCTGTAAATGGAATATTCTAGAGATTACCACTTACATTATCGTAACATACAAAAATAAGACATGAATATATAATTTCAACAATTAAATAGAAGACATGATCAAGTCTGGCATACAAAATAAACTATCCTTGCTGTTCCAGCGCGCACACACACACACACACACAGGTCCCTCCTCCACATGAACCTGCATGTAAATAACAACTAAAAATTAATGCATAAAATATACTCCCTACTTTGTTATATATGATATACAAATAATTGAATTACGTAGATAAAAAATTTAGCTAAAATTAGATAAAAGTAATAAATATGTAAGAAATATAATTTTTTTCAAGTATACTAATTATTTATGCAAAGGGTGAGAAGGAGAGAGATATGAAAGAAAATGTTTGAAAACAATAGATGAGACAATTAGTACATAGAGACGTAAAGTCTTTTTGTTGAACCCCATAGACATATAATCGATGAAGATAAAAATAAAAAAGGGTGAGTTAAAATTTTAGACATGTACGAAGTGTGAGAACTGGCTCTAGCTACCCTCAAAATTTTAAATTATATATAGGGGCGGAGTGAGTATTAGCTAAAAAAAGCTATGTAACGTAATTGTAAAAATAAAAAGTAAAATATTTTAATTTGATTACCGGCAATCATTTCAAGAACGACCATAACCAAGACTGTCTCCGATAACCTTATCAGGTCCCTTTGAAGTTGAATTTTTGAAGGACTCTGTGAATCATATGTTGAACCATAACCAAGGCTGTCTCCGATGACCTTAGTTTCTGTTGAAGTTGAGCCCTTTGAAGACTTCTGTGAGCTATGATAAGTAGTACCATAACCAATACTGTCCCCGACAGTGTTCTTCCTTGTAGCCGAACTCATCTTCCTAATAAACCACCAAGTGGCTAGCCAGCAACAACACTGATATAAAGACAATCTATTTTTTTGGGAGGTGTCTTATAATAAGAGGATTTTTTCCAGTTTTTTTTTTTTTTAATAATGTATAGGAGGAAATGGGATTACATTTGGATGCACTGGAATTGCGGTGTTGGTGACTTCTAATTAACTTAGTGAACACAGTGGAATTGGAAAAGATAAAGATGAAGATATTACCTGACAAAAAGAGCCTACTTTTGATCAGCCGCGTTTCTCACATATATACATACATATATATATTTGGGCATCCTCTCATATATTATTCTAACAATTACTATTCTCACCCTCTAACTAACCACCCTTAAATTTGATCTTTGATAAGTCTTCTCGAGCCTTTCCATTCTTGCTGTCGTGTAGTTAATGTTTCCATTAAAACATAGTTAGAACGAGGGAGGATATGAAAGGCAATGAAAGAGACATAGTAATGATAACTTGTATTTGGGGATTCGAAAATAAAAGGGAATATGATGGTAACAACTATATGTACAACGAAGACTTTCATTAACATCAATAGAAAACATAAAATTTATAATCTATCATATTATTTACGTGCAAGCTTTTGATCTAAGAAAAGTTTATATTATCTGGGATTCTTTTTCCCCCAAATGAAGCACATCATCAGTCAACCTCACTTCTAATTCGATCATGATGACTGCTCATTTAGTTATGGCTAAATTATACAAAACTTTTATAAATTTTGGGTCAGTTATGAAAAAAAATTCTAAATTATCAGGTTAAAAGACAATCTTGCCTTTGAACTATTTCTTGAAGAGTATTATAAAAATACCAAAAATATTGTAACCTGGGTTTAATTTTATTGCATTCATTTAGTTATAGGTTAAATTATTTTTCTAAGCCAAAACCTCATTTTATTGCATTTTATGATGTTTAGTTATCTTAGGACATTACTAAAGGTTTCTGAAAGTGAACACGACCTGAAGTTACACAATATTGCATCGGTTGGTTAAATTGTTGATTGAGAATCCCCAGAGCGTAGCATGACAAAGTTCTTATAAGGGCTCATCAAGAGGTACTAATTTAAGGGTAACATTGTCATTTAACCATATAATTTAGACTCTTCTTCTATCTCTAGAATGGGTGGTAAGGTCTCCACTCCTCTAAAAGGCGGCAGGCTTAGGTCAAAGTTTTGGTGCCCAATTTCTTGTCTGTTGTGAAAATAAATAAGAATAAAGGGACATATAAAATCAATTGAATTTCAAACAAGGCACCAATCCCTTCAGCCATAGTGCTTTTTCCCTAAATGCATCTTAAGAAACATAATGCAATAATGAATGAACAAAAAAAAATTCACAAGGAATTAGGGCAATTGTAAGTTCCTCTCTCTGCACTAAGATATACTATTTTTATTTATATAACCTGAGATCAGATGCACTTGGTTGTAAACTATTGTGAAAGACTTAAAATAAAACTCCTAATCTAACTCATTATCCCTTGCATGACTAAGTATGGAACCACAGGAGATATTTAAAACTCACCGCCTAATCTCATCGCATCTCATCACCTTAAAATCTCAATGCAATTTAAGTTCTCCTATATGATAATCAATATAAAATATACAGAGTAATATGAGTGGGATAGATGGAAGACGCTTACAAATTGCAATTTAACTTATTCAATTAGGTTAAAATATGCACGGTTACTTATATATTTACAACTTATCTTTACTCATAAGATATTATCAAACTTAACAACGACAACAAAGATGATTAA